CTCCCCCATGCTCCTTTGTATACACAAAGCTGAAGAAGGTATTAAATTAATTTGCCTTCTCTTTGTCCCCAGTCACCCACTCTACATTATTTTGTAAAGGGCCTACATGCTCGGACCAAACCTTTTTACTATTAATATATTTGAAGAATTTTTTGGGGTTGGTCCTGCTGTCTTTTGCAATCTGTCATTCGTTTTCAATTTTTGCTGCCTTTATTTCCTTTTTGCATATTCTGTTATATTCTTTGTAATGTTTAACCAATGATAGTGTTCCTTCATTTTTATATTGAATAAAAGCTATTTTCTTATTATCTATAGCCTTTTTAACTTTGGCCGTAAGCCACATAGGTTTGATTTTTAGCCTTTTAAACTTGTTGCCCATGGGAATATATTTGCAGTGTGTTCACATGCAGTCTTTTTGAAGAACTCCCATTTCTGTGTTGTGTTCATCAATGCCAATATTCTCTCCCAGTCTAGGTCTTGGAGAGCAGCTCTCAGCCTTGGAAAATTAGTTCTCTTGAAATTGAGCGTTTGTATTTTTCCCACATGTGCTCGCTGTTTACAGCTAACAATACATGAAATCATGTTATGGTCACTGCTACCCAGATGTTCTTTTATATGGACATTCATAATAAGCTCTGCATGGTTTGAGATTACCAGGTCCAGCAGAGCATCATTCCTAGTAGGGGCCTCTATGAACTGTACCATAAAATTGTCCTGTAGTAGGTTTAAACATTTTTGCCCTTTAACTGTTCCTGCAGTACCATTACTCCAGTCAATTTTCGGGTAGTTAAAATCCCCCATTATTATCACTGTTCCAGCCCTTGCAGCCCTTTCGATCTGTGCAAGGAGCTGAGTTTCCACCTCTTCATTAACACTGGGAGGCTTAGAACAAACTCCAATGATTACCTTTGTAGTACGCACTCCCATGTGCAGTTCCACCCATAATACTTCAGCCTCATCATACTCTCCATCAACTAAATACCTTTTTTCTTTTAATTATATATATGATACCCTCTGTTCTCAGCTGCATAAAAGGCTTGGAAAGGTGGGAAAGGAGACTGTAGGTAAACAGCAGTACATTGATCATCTCAGTGATTAGCTGTGGGAACGGGTGTCAACACAAGTCTGATCATTGGAGGACACAACAGCTGTGCTCCCAGCACAGCCAGAAACCTGACCACGCTGGTGTGCTATCATGCCTAGCATGGTCAATTTGAAATAGGAAGGCAGGGGGACTGGCAAGATCACCAGATATTTCACAGAAAGGATGCTATGCAAAGATACTTTTAAACACAAGTACAGTTAGGTCTATATATATTTGGACACAGGCACAATTTTAGTTTTTTCAGATATTTACCAAAATGTATTCAAGCTATAGTTATATAATGGATATGGGGCTGAATGCGCACACTTAGGTTTAATTTGAGGGTATGTACATCTAAATTGGAGGAAGCGTTTAGGAATTACAGTTCTTAAGAGTAGCCATCCACCCTTTTTCAAGGGACCAAAAGTAATTAGACAGTTGAATCAAAAGCTGTTTCATGGCCAGGTGTGGGCTACTCCTTCATTATTTCTTCATCAATTAAGTAGGTAAAAGGTCTGGAGTTGATTGTAAGTGTGGTATTTTCATTTGGAATCTATTGCTGTGAACCTACATCATGCGTTCAAAGAAGCTGTCCATACAAGTGAATCAAGCCACTGTAAGGCTTCAAAAACAAAACAAATCCATCAGAGAGATAGCAGCAACATTACGAGTGACCAAAACAACAGTTTGGTACATTCTGAGGAAATAAGAATGCACTAGTGAGCTCAGCAACATAAAAATGCATGAACGTCCACGGAAGACAACAGTTATGGATGATCGCAGGATCCTCTCTATGGTAAAGAAAAACCCATTCACAACATCCAGACAAGAGAAGGACACTCTCCAAGAGGTGGGCATATCATTGTCAAAGTCTACAATCAAGAGAAGACTTCAAGAGAGCAAATACAGAGGGTTCACCACAAGGTGAAAACCATTCATAAGCCTGAAGAATAGAAAAGCCAGATTAGACTTTGCCAAAAAACATCTAGAAAGCCAGACCAGTTCTGGAAAAGCGTTCTGTGGACAGACGAAGCTTAAATTAATCTGTACCAGAATGAGGGGAAGAAAAAAGTGTGGAGAAGGTTTGGAACAGATCATTATCCAAAGCACACAACATCATCTGTTAAACATGGTGGAGACAGTGTTATGGAATGGACATGCATGGCTTCCAGTGGCACTGGGTCATTGGTGTTTATTGATGATGTGACAGAAGACAGAAGCAGCCAGATGAATTCTGCAGTGTTTAGACATATACTGTCAGCCCAGATTCAGCAAAATGCAGCAAAGTTTATTGGACGGCATTTCACAGTACAGATGGACAATGATCCAAAACGCATTGCAAAAGCAATCCAGGAGCTTTTGAAGGAAAAGAAGTGGAATATTCTGCAATGGCTGAGTCAATCACCTGATCTCAACCCAATTGAGCATGCATTTCACTTGCTGAAGGCAAAACTAAAGGCAGAAAGACCCACAAACAGAGAACAACTGAAGACAGCTGCAGTTAGAGCCTGGCAAAGCATCAGAAAGGAGGAAATCCAGTCTTTGGTAATGTCCATGACTTCAGGTAATCATTACCAATAAAGGATTCTCAACAAAATATTAAAAATGAACATTTTATTTATGAATATATTCAATTTCCCAATTACATTTGGTTATTTAATAAAGGGGAATGGCTATTCTTAAGAGCTGTAATTCCTAATCCCTTCCTCCAGTTTGGATGTACATACCCTCAAATTAAACCTGAGAGTGTGCACTTTCATCCCATATCCATTATATAATTATAGCTTAAATATGGTTTGGTAAATACCTTAAAAAAAACCTAAAATTCTGCCTGTGTCCAAATATATATGGACCTAACTGTATGAGGCAACACAGACATAAAATCAGGAATTTGAAATGTTGGGGTAACATACACTTTAATGTCTCAGGATGCAATGAATTAATGAGTGACAAATGACTATATGCAGAACCAAGATGCAGCACCAAATAACAGAGCAGGAACAGAGCCAAGACAGACTGAAGGTAGAACAAGGGCAAACATGCATAGATGGAAATAAAGTCACTGCAGGCAAAGTCAGAAACCCAGACTAATCCATGTTGAAATGGGACATAAGAAATCACCCGAGACAGGCAGAAAACACACACCTTGGATCAAATACTAACTGAATGTTCTGAACTCCATTTTAACACTCTTTATTAAGGCCAGGTGTGCAGCTACAATATGATCATACTGCACTGCTGAGCATTTTCCAGCACATGGAAGAGCTTTCAAGCTAAATATTACAATATAGTGGCCATAGCGAAACACAATATAACGTGCATCATGTAAGACAATTCTACATCTTTTTCACCAAACCTGCGCAGCAAAATCAGCTTTTTGCATTCCTCTGGATATTTATAAGTGAATAAAGAAATTATATTTATAAAGGGAACGAGAAATTGAAGACAGTACCACAAATTGTGTGCTTATCTTTTTTTTATTCTATTGTAACAAAGACAACATATTATTGTGCAAGTAAAAAGTATGTGAACTAAAAATAAATGCAATTTGACAACATCAAACTTGTCAGGAATGGACTCGCCAATAGTGGTGGGACTCACCTGCCTTGTGGTTTGCAGTACCAGGACTGGCCATCGGGTGCTCTCAGCAACCAGAGGCTCACTTCTGCAGTCAGCCAAAACACCTGAGGCTGATTGCAGGAGGTGCATATAAGGAATGGCCAGCCTTGCAATCTGGGCCTTGGTGTATGTTTTCCCAAGAGCCCCTGTACCTGCATCCTGTCTGCTTCCTGTCTGACCCTGCTTGATCCCTGACTCTGATTGAACTCCGCCTGTCCTGACCTCTGCTATTCCTGACCACTCTCCAGTCTGCTCTTTTGGTACCTTGTCTGCCTGATTGTTCCTGACCCGGCCCGTCCGACTACGCTTAGACTTGTTCTTTTGTTATCTGTTGGGGGTTTTGGTTTGGTTTGTTTTCACTGTGTTTATGTTTAGTCTTGCACTGCATTTATGTATTGTTTAGTCTTAAATAAATTATATTGTTTATACTATATCTCTGAAGCCTGCGTTTCCCTGTGTCAGTCCACACACCTCTGGTCATACCCGGGTCCCTGACATTACACCAAGGCCAATCCTGACCAGAAGTGGCTGCACAGGGAAGCCATCTTGGCTTATTGTTGCTGGGAAGGATGAAACTTGATGAGGTGGTGTATTTGTCTCTGCTAGTGTTTGATGACAGAGATTATGCTTATATGACTCTGAAGGAGTATACCAGGGATCAACTACTAGAGTGCATAAGGATCGCTCATTGCCTAGTAGATCAGGGCACAGAGTTCTCTGAGGTGCAACCATTGATTCAGGTTTGTGCAGAGTTGGTTTCATCTGGTACCCCCGAAAGCCGGGATGAATTTTTGCCGCCATTTAGTGCCGACCAGGTAGAGTCCCTGGTATGGTTATTGGAGGATGATGTAGATTACTTTCTGGAGCGTTATTCTGCATGTTCACAACAGGTACTAAGAGACTGTATAAATGCAGTGCAGTCTTTGACCAGACAGGCTTTGTGTAAGCTGAGCTTTGTTCAACCCATACTGCAGACATGGTCAGACTTGTTGCACCCAGCCTCAGTCAGCTTACAACGTCATTCCTCTGCTCAAGGCACTCTTCCTGCATCCCCGACAGCACCCCCAGTGACTGCCCAGTATACTCTGCTAACTACCACATATCAGTCCCCTGCTCCCACTCGTTGCACCTATCCTTTCTTTAGCCCTGTAAAGAAGTCCTCTGTAGCAACTGCTCCCTCCTTTGTTCCATCCCCCAGCTCTTCTCTGCCTACAGCTGCTCTATCCACTTACAAACCTGCGCTTACTTCCTGTGCTCCAGTAACTAAAACCAGGAAAAAGCTAAAGTTCTTTCCAACCAGTACCATCCTGCCAGTATCCAAACCGGTCAGCCTGCCGTCTGAGAACCCACCTTCCATGGTTCAGCCTGGTGCCCCGGCACCCGCACTTCAGCCTGATACCCTGATGCCAGATGACTCGGCGCCCGCAGTCTTGCCAGATGACTCGGTGCCCGCTGTCGAGCTTGACGACCCGATGCCCGCTGTTTTGCCAGATGACTCGGTGCCCGCTGTCTTGCCAGATGACTCGGCGCCCGCTGTCTTGCCAGATGACTCGGCGCCCGCAGTCTTGCCAGATGACTCGGCGCCTGCAGTCTTGCCAGATGACCCGGTGCCTGCTGTTTTGCCAGATGACTCGGTGCCCACTGTCTTGACAAATGACTCGGTGCCCGCTGTCGAGCTTGATGACCCGATGCCTGCTGTTTTGCCAGATGACTCGGTGCCCGCTGTCTTGCCAGATGACTCAGCGCCTGCCGTCTTGCCAGATGACTCGGCGCCCGCAGTCTTGCCAGATGACCCGGTGCCCGCAGTCTTGCCAGATGACCCGGTGCCCGCTGTCTTGCCAGATGACTCGGTGCCCGCTGTCTTGCCAGATGACTCGGCGCCCGCAGTCTTGCCAGCTGACTCGGCGCCCGCAGTCTTGCCAGATGACCCGGTGCCCGCTGTTTTGCCAGATGACTCGGCGCCCGCAGTCTTGCCAGATGACCCGGTGCCCGCAGTCTTGCCAGATGACCCGGTGCCCGCTGTCTTGCCAGATGACTCGGTGCCCGCTGTCTTGCCAGATGACTCGGCGCCCGCAGTCTTGCCAGCTGACTCGGCGCCCGCAGTCTTGCCAGATGACCCGGTGCCCGCTGTTTTGCCAGATGACTCGGCGCCCGCAGTCTTGCCAGATGACCCGGTGCCCGCAGTCTTGCTAGATGACTCGGTGCCCGCTGTCTTGCCAGATGACTCGGCGCCCACAGTCTTGCCAGCTGACTTGGCGCCCGCAGTCTTGCCAGCTGACTTGGCGCCCGCAGTCTTGCCAGATGACCCGGTGCCCGCTGTTTTGCCAGATGACTCGGTGCCTGCAGTCTTGCCAGATGACTTGGTGCCCGCAGTCTTGCCAGATGACTCGGTGCCCGCTGTCGAGCTTAAAGCCCTGATGCCCGCTGTTGTGCCAGATGACTCGGTGCCCGCAGTCTTGCCAGATGACTCAGTGCCCGCAGTCTTGCCAGATGACTCGGTGCCCGCAGTCTTGAGAGATGACCCGGTGCCCGCTGTTTTGCCAGATGACTCGGTCCCCGCTGTCTTGCCAGATGACTCGGTGCCCGCTGTCTTGCCAGATGACTCGGTGCCCGCAGTCTTGCCAGATGGCTCGGTGCCCGCTGCTCCGCCTGCTGGCCTGGTGCCCAGCCTGATGTGCCTCTGTCCGGTGTCCAGCCTGATGTGCCTCTGTCCGGTGTCCAGCCTGATGTGCCTCTGTCCGGTGCCCAGCCTGATGTGCCTCTGTCCGGTGCCCAGCCTGATGTGCCTCTGTCCGGTGCCCAGCCTGATGTGCCTCTGTTCGGTGCCCAGCCTGATGTGCCTCTGTCCGGTGCCCAGCCTGATGTGCCTCTGCCCGGTGCCCAGCCTGATGTACCAGTCCTTGATATCCTGCCAATTACCGGATCCAGGCGGTGGAACATTTTGCCCATTTAGGACGGTTTGGAGCGTCCTGAGGCCGCTCCTTGAGGGGGGGTACTATCAGGAATGGACTCGCCAATAGTGGTGGGACTCATCTGCCTTGTGGTTTGCAGTACCAGGACTGGCCAGCAGGTGCTCTCAGCAACCAGAGGCTCACTTCTGCAGTCAGCCAAAACACCTGAGGCTGATTGCAGGAGGTGCATATAAGGAATGGCTAGACTTGCAATCTGGGCCTTGGTGTATGTTTTTCCAAGAGCCCCTGTACCTGCATCCTGTCTGATTCCTGTCTGATCCTGCTTGATCCCTGACTCTGATTGAACTCCGTCTGTCCTGACCTCTGCTATTCCTGACCACTCTCCAGTCTGCTCCTTTGGTACCTTGTCTGCCTGATTGTTCCTGACCCGGCCCGTCCGACTATGCTTAGTATTGTTCTTTTGTTATCTGTTGGGGGTTTTGGCTTGGTTTGTTTTCACTGTGTTTATGTTTAGTCTTGCACTGCATTTATGTATTGTTTAGTCTTAAATAAATTATATTGTTTATACTATATCTGAAGCCTGCGTTTCCCTGTGTCAGTCCACACACCTCTGGTCATACCCGGGGCCCTGACAAAACTGCTCAAAAAGGCATATTGAAATGGCTGCATAACTTAAAAACTCCAAATTGATGAATACCGACTATTTAAAGTGACAAAATTTGCATTCCAGAAATTGGAGGACTTCTCAAAAATAAAAACAAAAGCAGAGATCTTTTCCAAACAGTGAAGAATAGGTGGAGAACATTTTAGTAAAACACAAAATGACGCAGAAAAGATCCAAAGAAAATTTTTTTGAGGTTTTAAGGAGCACAGTCAGTTCACTATTTAAATAATCTGCTGTACTTGCACAAAGGTAACCATAAAAATGCAGACGCATTACAAGGCAACGATTTGAGAAAACTGCAAATTGTCCAGTATGTACTCAAGAATGGTCAAAAATAGCCACAAATGGTCAAAATCCATAGATTTTTTTTTCAGTGAGAGAATAGTGATCAGACAGCAATAATTAGTATTAATAGAGCTCGGTGTTTGAAATGAAAGTTTAGGAAAAGGAATCATGGTGGTTACAAATGAGTGGAGAATGTAAAAAGTGAGCCCAATTTATTTGTGAACACTTTTATGGGACTGCCTCAGCCTTCACCATGAATTCTGCAGGAAAATGCCATTTACTTTTTAAGGATTTTTTTTTTGTGTGTGCTGCCCCTTTACATTTCTCACACCCCTTGGGACAGGTAAAAAATGTCCAATGGTGTGTGAGGGAACTTTCTAGAAGCTCAAGGGGCTCAATATATATAGTGCCTATGCCTTAAGGTTGTTGCTGGTGGTCAGGACAAGCAAAGGAGCTATAATACCCCTCTTTACCTTGCTCATCTGACCATGAATTCCTTAGTGTGGCTCATTTTGACAGCATCCAGTGGCGGAGAAGAGTGGCTGTAGAGGTGCTTGGCAAAAGAGCCAATAATAGAGCAGTGGGAAGAAGAGGCCAGTGTGTCATGCCCAACAGGTGAGCGGCAAAGAAGAGGGAGAGTGGCGGAGGTCCGCTGCCTGTGGAGAAGTCAGCCACCTGAGCAGGAGAGCCTGGCAGCTGTGGGTCCAGAGCTGGCCCCTTGCCTGTCGCTGAAGAGGTGAGAGATGTCTCCTGTGAAGGAGGGCCCAGCCGCTGAGTACACAAGAAGAGGCGGGACTACTCTTCTCCTGTTTGGAACTGAGCAAGAAGAGGGGAGGTGGCCATCTCCAGATTTTTGAGCACAGAAGGAATATGTCCTTCCTGGCTCTCCTAAATGCTCCTCTGCACACATCTTACAGCAGTAGGTGGGCTGTGAAGTAGTGTACCTGAACCCCCGGCTATTACAATGGGTGAGTGTAGAAATGTCACTCTATTAATGGGGTCCCTACTGCACTATAGCCAAAAGACAGCTACAGTGCAGTTGTCTAGTTCTGGGAGGACGTCCATGGATGTATTCCCAGAACACGCCCCCTGCGCACCCTAGGTGGTGTGCACCCAGTGCCACCGGTGATTGCTGTGTCCTACTGACTCAGCTGATCACGTAATATGGTAAATGGCCAATCAGAGAGGCCTTTTACCATGTGATCAGCTGTGTCCAATGACACAGCAGATCACCGGGTAAATACAGTTGCCGGTTATCGGCTGCACTTTCCTCACGCTGTTACAGCATGAGGAAAGTAGTGCCGATAAATGGCAATTGTCAGAGAAGTGATCAGTGCCCAGCAGTGCCACCAAGAAGTGCCCTGCAGTTCCACCCACCTGTGCCCAGCAGTGCCACCCACCTGTGCCTAGCAGTGCCACCCTCCTGTGCCTAGCAGTGCCACCCATCAGTGTCTAGCAGTGCTGTCAGTCAGTGCCACCCATCAGTGCCGCCTATCAGTGCCACCTATCAGTGCCGCCTATCAGTGTAGCATCATCAGTGCCAGCTCATCAGTGCTGCCTATCAATGCCCATCAGTGCTGCCTATCCATGCCACCTCATCAGTGCCCATCAGTGCTGCCTATCAGTGCCCATCAGTGCTGCCCATCTGTGCCACCTCATCAGTGCTGCCTATCAGTGCCCATCAGTGCAGCCTTATCAGCGCACATCAGTGAAGGAGAAAAATTACCTGTTTGCAAAATGTTATAATAGAAACAAAGAAAAACTTTTTTCTTTTTCAAATTTTTTTTCTTTTTTTGTTTATAGAGCAAAAAATAAAACACCCAGCGGCAATTAAATGCCACCAAAAGAAAGCTCTATTTGTGTGAAAAGATTTATAACAATTTCATATGGGTACAATGTTGCATGACCGTGCAATTGTCAGGAAGGGAGTATAAGTGCCAGGTAGGCAGGTGGTTAAATAACCTGATGGATTCTTTGTCTAAATTAGCTTCTGTCATTTCCAGTCAATTTACTGTACATCCTGCTAACCCTGTTAGTGTTTGGGCTCCTTCTAACCCATCCTGCATTACTAACCCTTGCCGGTGTTACTGCCCCTCCCAGTTTCCATTAACCCTTCCTCATCCACTACCCATTTAATTCCTCGGATTAACCCTTCTGTGACAGTTTATGGATCTACAGTTAGAGCTCCTGTACCAGAGATATGCTTTAAGGAAGGTCTGCCATGCAAAATCTCCCCGCTCAGTTATCACTTGTCTATGGCAATAAAGGAGAAGATTTGGAAGCGGGAGTTTGTAGACATTTTGTCCCTCCTCCCCTCTTCCAAAGATTTTCTTTCCAGGTCGGTCAAGAAGGCTGACAAGTATGGTGAGGATGAGAGATGCTGGCCCATACCGAGATCATTCAATAATTGGCTACAGGCCAACTGCATATTTGCCAGTGTTTGTGATGAAAAGCACCCAGATAAATGTAGTGGGTTATTTTATCACTTGGAGAATGAGTCATTTAGACATAAATCATCAATTTACCCTGGTTTAAAATAGGGTATGTAAAATGTGGGCCTATGGCTTAATTTAATCTTGCTCCAATGGTCCACAAGCCATCAACGGTTACCAATAATATATCCCCTTACAAGAAGGGATTTTGCTATGCATATAACAAATGCAAGTTGAACATGTCATGCAAGTATAAGCATTCGTTTTTTTTTTTGTTCTGGTTCGCATCCAGTGATAAGATATATTTTTTTTATAATCAAGCTTTATTAAGATTTTGAAACAATATGATGAGAATTGTTTTTGAA